CCCGTTACATCGTGGAGGCCTCCCATGTCACCTTTGGGACCCCACTGCCTAAGCTCCATAGGTGGGGACTTCACGAATTTTGTCCTAGGGGCTGACACTCATCCTGTCACCACAAAACACGTTACATCAACTGCCACATCAGCAGTGCCAGTGACAGGTGCGCCTGGCCACACAGACACAACCTTTCCCATGCCTGGACATGTGCCTTGCCCCAGCTCTGATGCTGACCACACTGTAAAGGGCTCCCAGACGATCCATTCCTCACCAGCACCAGCCCCGGCATCCCATTTTTACCCACTGGATGGCAGGTTACCTTGATGACCCAAAACAAGATCACCAAAGGGGGAGAGAGAGCTTCACAGATCCTCTGTGGTCTTCAGGACAAAGACACAGAAATCTTTCGGCTTTAACAGTCAACACTCAATCTTTTGAAATAAGGTGCTATAGTGCATGGTGTTCCGTAGGGAGCCTGTAGTGGACCCCAAGATTCGCCCTAGTTTATAGGTTACCACTGCCTGAGAGTAAGGAATTTAAATGGTGGATCCCAGCTCCAATCTCTTCCAGCAACTGGTGATCAGACCTCTCTAATGCTGGAAATTTGGACTCACACAACATACCCAGAGATATCCAGAAATCATGTTTGCCACCAGAAAGGGCAAGGCTTTCCACCTCAAAAGTGACATCAAAACCTTTAACCATAGGACCAGTTCTCCATACAATTGTTTAAACATAGGAAACGTAGCCAGTGTTGGAACAGACGGAGGCAGCCCAGCTGTGGTTATTTCCACAATGTACACAAGAGCTACGAGCATACTCCCCACGTGCCAGGATGACCCCTCCCGGTGCAGCGGCACTCAGGACGGCACCTGAGTCCTCAGATGCACATGAACAGGGGCTGGAGGACAGGAGCGCTGAGCGTGTGGCCAGGAGCCGGCAGTGAGCAGCGTCCAGCATTCGGGGAAGCGAATGCCCAAGGCCTGCCGCTGTTTCTAAAGCTCTTGCCAAATCAAAGCAATCTGCCCGCTCTGAATCCCAGAAGGGCGGCCAGTTAAAGAGCTGTGAGTGAACCTGTCCTGCTAAGAAAAGCAAACGAAGCTTCCTGGGTGATGCGTCACAGGACGTGGCCCGCCCTCCTCGGACACAGCCCGCATCCAAGAGGTCCATGTGCGAGCCTGTTCCTCAGGCTCACGCTCTCCACTTGTGAAGGAGAAAAACCTAGAAACTTTATCAAATCAGGCATAACTGCATCGTGTAATTGTTTCTTCCCAAGACAGTCGGTAACCATCCGCGTTTTAGGTCACTTACTCTTGCTCTCTATGGCTTTTTGACATAAACGAGTCATTAACATCCACTTGACAAATAACCTAATACACAATATTTCTTCGTGGTCAAGAAGAACGTGACTGCCTTATCTAGAAAGCCACTCACAAATCTAAAACCTGGGAGACATCTGCGGTCACTGTAGATCAGATTTATACATTTTAGATGACAAGTTTCCAGCGGAAGTAGCCACATTGATAGATTTACACAAATTACATGACTGTGTGTTTAAGGACATGCCTTTTAAGAAGTCCCTTTAAGCAAGAATATGGTGAAGCCATCCGTCACCATAGTTAATGCAAGGTGGGCTCAGCAGGAGCGTTTTGGGACTCGCCGGCGTCGGGGCATCTGTGGAAGGAGACGGATGCCCAGCCAGGCTCCTCTCCCCGGCTCCCAAGAAGCCCGAGCGCGGCTTTCCGCTAACACTTGGGAACTACAAACCGCCCTGTCTCCACGCGTCCGGGGCGCTGGGCCAGTGCCGTCCCCTGCCAGACCCCAGGTGACAGCTGACTCACAAGCAGCTCGTAGCTCTAGGGGTTCATGCAGCTCCTCTGCACGCCTCCCTCTTCACCGTCACTCAGGGTAATGGAGTCCAAGGAGGGACTGCACGACGTCAACACCACAGTGAGAAACTCAGGACGCGCGCAAGGGTGGAGAGCAGCACAAGACGGCGTGGACGGAGGAAGAGCAGGAGAGGACTCTTTTACGCTCAGTGTGAGCATCGAACAATGGCATTAAAAGCAAAACTATGTGCCTAAAATATTCAGAGAGCGGCCGGTGAGCAACGCACATGGTCAGAGCAGCGAGAGCATCTACCGACGAGATCTCCTGGGAAGGCAGGACGGGAAAGGCTTTCCAGCCACGGCGCTGTTCTCAGTAAGAGAGTGACAGCAGGGCACATATGAAAGAAGCTGCCACCAATTTGGCTAATTAACATTCCAGAGCCAGTCTCCAAATGGGAAAGCAAATGCCCAGAAAAATAAACACCAACTTGGGATGCTGAGACGGCAAATCTAAGGGAGAAAACATCAATTTTCTTTGAAGTCCCCCTGAAAAACCTGGTTTTCAAGCAGCCCGACTTCAAAGGCAAATACAGTGTTTCCCCTTGGGTCCGGCTGTCGCAAGAGAAAGTGTGTCCGTGGGAGGCCGTCTTTATTTAGGGAAGGAAGCAAAGGCGTTTCTGAACCGGTCACATCGATGATATGTTAGAAGAGCAACCCCCTCGGAAGGAGACCCTCGGACACTTCTCCGGGCGACTGCAGTCTGTTACCGTCCTTCTGGAACTCCCCAGGCGGGCAGCTTGACAGAGCAGCGGATCTTTGCAGGGTGTACATGATCACCAGCATCAAAATTTGTCACACGGCGACCACGGGTGCTCTGAAGACGACGAATGACAACGGCAGGAGAAACGCCCGCTGCCACTACAAAAGGAAGGGATTTGCATCTACACTTGGCCCCTGTGAGGTCTCCCAGGGACAGCGATGACGCCAAGGATGCCTCTCGCTTCCGTCCTGCCAACAGCGCATGGGAAGGACCAAAAGAATCAGTGTGGTCAGTAAATGCGTCACGAGGCAGCACGACGTCCACAGGCTGCTTGCAAAACGCAGCATCAGGCCCTGTATTCTTTCCGCGCTTCCAGGTCTGTGTGCAGGAATCGGAGGAGGAAAACCGAGAAACGGCTGAGGGGCGGGAAGTCTTGGTCAACCGTGCAAGGTCAAAGGCAGCCAGGACCTCTGGCACCTTGTGAGTCGACACACAACCTGCTCGGCGTTTGCAACGGCAGCTTCAGGTTCCACAAAGCACGTGAGGTATCTCCGTCAGGACACAATGTTTCCGCTGCTGTATTTAATAAAGTGCAAACACTGGTCCACACGCCAAGGACTTAAGCTTTTCTTTAAAACACTCACACACAGACTCACAACAGCTTTCCCAGCCGCTAAACAGGGCGCTCGTGATGGCCCGTCTGGAGGAATACCATTACTGACGATCAATTCACAAGCTAAAGAAGTTAACATGCAAACACGTATATCGAGTTGTTTTCCTAAACTATGGAATTTCATATGGAATCTTGATTTTACACAGATGTACATTATGCTAAACCCTTTAAAAAGGAAAGTCTTGTTGTTTTTGTATTCTCCTAAAACATGTCAAAGTCCTGCCGTCTGAAAACTACTCTTCTAAGGTGGGATAATTTAATCTTTTCATCCCACTTTTTCATTGTAAACAGGAACAAGTATGAAATTGTCATGAAAACTATTTGAAATTCAGCTAGTGATCATTTTAACCTCAAATTAACATTTCCAGAAAAGGCAATACTTGGGGTAAATGTGCATTTAACATTACGAAGAATTTAATGAGAAAAGTATCTGTTTGTACAGCATGTGTCCCTGGGTATACCAGCCCCAAAACGTCACCTGAATCAATGTCAAGTATGCTCTCCCGGCATGGCGTGCCCCTGCTGCACGCGGCTTACTGAATCCTGACTTCTCTCTGGCCCCAGAGAAATTACCTACACCGCATCCTCGCCGACTTATTTTTTAACTCTCTTTGGTTCGGTTCCATTCAATATTTTTTAACTCTCTTTGGTTCAGTTCCATTCAAGGCATAACGACCAGTCCGGCAAGAAGATTTATGAAAGTGCAATGACCAGTTTCCTTTTCGAATCTCACCCGAAGCTTCCACTCTTAGAATATGCGCATTTGGCATTTTCCCCTGATTTTTCTTTTTCTTTCTTTCTTTTTTTTTTTTTTTTTTTTGTTAACTCTACAAAGTGTACATCACAGGATAGTTTAAAGGACGGCGCCCACAGCTGCCACCCCAAGTCACGGGGCACTGCCCTGCTGGCCTCCGGGGATAGTTAACGGACCTCATGCTCACACGCGGTTGCAGCTGGGCCCCAGAAACCTTGTTCCCTATTTAAAGGTGTGAATAAACACAGCCTGAGCAAAGAAACTCAGCAAAGTCTCGTTTCCATTTAAGAGACATGTCTCTGTGTAAACGGCCACAAAAATCAAATTCAGGTAAAACTTCCATCATGGGTCCATGATCATATCTTCAAACACACAGCTTAGAACATTACTTCTTTTCTTAAAATTGAAGAATAAACACATACATGGTTTTTTTCCTAAATAAATTTGGTTCAAAATGCAGATTGCCCGGGGGCACCTGGGTGGCTCAGAGTGTTAAGCCTCTGCCTTCGGCTCAGGTCATGATCCCGGGGTCCTGGGATCGAGCCCTGCATTGGGCTCCCTGCTCAGCGGGGAGCCTGCTTCCCTCTCTCTCTGCCTGCCTCTCTGCCTGCTTGTGATCTCTGTCTGTCAAATGCATAAATAAAATCTTTAAAAAAACAAAAATGCAGATCGCCCGTATTCCCGACCATATCTGTCGGTCCTGATCCTTTATCCTGTGAAGACTGAATGAATGTAGGAAGTCCGCTGCACTTTCCTTTCTGTAGAGGCATAAAACTAGTTGGCATTTTCTTTTGTTTTTGAAATAAAATGTAGACGTAACCTTTACTGGACCTAGAGATTTCCTAAAAGGACCAAAGCACTTTTTTTTAAACCAAGTGGAATCGCATTAAAATGAATGGATCGTTGTGAGTATCAGAAGGTGCCCCCTTGCTCGCCGTCGCCGTACGGTGACGTGCACGGAAAGCCCGCGAGCGTGCGCCAGCACCCGTCTCACACATGAGTGCAGTTGGTGGACGGAGGGTTGTCTACCCGACTCCTGTTCTCTTTACCGTCATTAAGAGGCGAGGTGCTGCAAACGTGGCACTTGAACACCTGCTTGTAGGCCTTCCTGAAATTCTCAGACAGAAAAGCGTATATGATGGGGTTCACCGAGGAGTTGCTGTAGGCCAGGCAGTGGGCGGCGATTCTGAAGAGGAAGGAGGCGGGGGTCAGCGGGAAAACCCCAAACTCAGCCCAGAGATTGATGACGTGGTGAGGCAGCCAGGATATCCCGAAAACCACGACCACCACCAGAATGGTCTGCGCGGTCTAGAGGACGAAGAAGGAGACAAGGCACATGTGTCAGTTACCGCAGGAGAAGGACCCAGAGCTCCCAAGGCGCCCTAAGAGCACTTTCTGCGCATCGCCCTGGAGTCAGACGCCGAGTGCTTTCCGTGCTGGTCGTGGCTTCGCACCACGGTTTTGTTCAGGACTTGTCCAGGACCCCCGCGGGAATGACTTAGTCACGTACGGACTGACGCGTGTGGATTGCCGGAAGGGTATGCTGGGTCCTGGGACTCTAACTGTGCAGAGATTAAACTCTGTGACTTAGACCGACAAAGCTCTGAGCAGGGCACAGGCTGATGCAGTCACCGAGAGGCAGCTCGGGTGGCACTGGCCTGAACCCTCTCGGAATGGCGACTTCGACAGACCACGTATTTCTTTATCTCTCTTCGTTCTATCGGTGACAATCCCCGGCATACTGATGCCTTCCAGACACACATATCAGTTTCCGTCTGGGGCTCAACTAGCCCCGTGTTTTGGCTTGCATACAACCCTTCCCTTGCTGCCCCTAAATCAGAAAACTGCTGGAGGAAGAGGCAGGACCCACGTGTTTCCTCTGAGATTTGGACCAAACAGGGGATCGAAGAAAACGGCACCCGATTGCAGACCTCAACACAAGAGAGCCTTGCCTCCAGCTTCCCCTCTGCTGCCCGCTTCATGTGCCCTTTACCTCCTCAATGGACTGGGTTGAGCCTCAGGATCACCTTTCCTGTCTTTCACGACAGTCCATCTGGTACACGTTTGAAAGGCAACGACGTAGTAAAGCTGTGATTCGTTGGAAACCCGCTATCTATGGCTTCAAACGAAACTGGGGTCTCTTAATATTTCTTAAACTAAAATACAACACAATCATCTGGCTCCTTCCTTAAAAATTTGCCCCTCCTGCAACAGGGTGGCTCAGGATCCAAGCAGGGTCCTGCCTGCTAATGGTCACAGGGGCACCAGGAGAGTCACGGGCAACTGGGAATGTCACTGCCTGACCCCTGGCCGTGTGCAGGAAGCAGACCCCGTCAGGATCACAGGTCTGGGATAAGAACGCTGACATTTAGAATAGTCAAGACAGGTGCTTGGTGTTCCAGAGCCCAGGGCCAGGTTGGGGTGGGAAGCCTAGTCACATGATCCCAAACCCACGTTCTAACACTCAGACAAGGAGAGAATCGCCTGCCGCCTGCCACGTCACCATCAACCCCAGCTCCCTCTCTGCGCCACCACGCCCCCCGCCCCCCGACCGGCCGCTGGGAAAGCAGAGCATCAGGGCACGTGAGCAGACAACCAAAGCCTCAGAAGACACTGGTCACCTGGCATTCCAAGGAACCACGCACGATGTGTCCCCCGCCCCCTGCGTTTGTCTGCTCCTGGAGAAATGAGGTCACCACCAGCAGGGAAGGGGATCCGGAGGACATGAGAGACACAGGCTCTCAGCCCTTTCCTTGACGGTTAGAATCTTCCCTTTCAGCCTGAGCCCCAGTTGCTTGAATGTGTGGATTGGAAACACGGACGTCTGAAGGTCTGGTCACCAGCACCGACCCCAGACAGGCAAGGGTAAGGACGCACCTCTCACTGACCTCCCCGCCAGAGCGTCCCCTTGTGCACAGAGAGAAAGACAAACAGCCGGAATGGACGGATAAGGCAAAGGAGCACTGGGAGGACAGGCAGAGACAGGAGGAAGGTTTAAGAGTGCAGGGACGCTCACTGTCCCGTTCTCACAGGGAGCAAGGGCAGGACGCAGGAGGCGGCTCCATCCTAGGACATCCCTGTCACACCACAAATGAACATGCTGCCTTGAGCTCTGCCCCGCGGCCCCCTCCACACGCCCCAGCATAGAGGCCGGAGCCCCCAGGATGGCAGCAGCAAGCCGCCCATGCCCACAGGACCCTTGCCAGCAGCAAACCCACAGGCAGCACACGTCCCTTAGAGACACGGGCTGGAGGACAGGCCCTCTGTGACCAGGTGGAGGCAGAGATGCTGGAGGAGAGTGGGATTTCAGGGCAGGCGCGTCAGGAGGGGCAGGACTGCTCATCTTCTCAAGGCCCTGTGGAGTGTGTGGAAGCCTGGCTCTCCTGCTGGCCGTAACCTGGCTGTGCATCCTTAGGGAAATGACGTAACCGCCCTGGGCCTCGACATTCTGCCCCAAGGAAAGGGTTTTCACTGTGCCTCGTCCGTTCAAACACTTCAGACAACTCGGGTGAAATCCGACAGCAGGTTTGCGTAGGACAGCAGGATTACGTATTAAAGCCACTCTACCGCAGGACACGCAAAGCAAACAAGAAATTTGTTCCCATACATTAGCAGATCGTCAGCTATCAGTGCACGTATCCATTAGCGTATGAGAGATTCCATTCCCAGATGATTTAATCAAAACCAATCGAGACATAATTATACCTATAAATAGAACAGAACACATCGTCTTTTCTTTCTAAGACAACGAGGACATCTCTCTCCTTCACCAAATGAACACCCGCTGCATATCCTGTTTCTTTGCTTCGTTCAGGATGTTTCTACCAAGGGCCAAGCTCAGGACAGAAGCAGACCCGGTGGCTTATTGATAAGATCGTAACATGCCACAGTCGGTAGGACAGAGGTAATGTGCGTGGATACGGCGTATTTTATGTGTATGTGTGTTTGCGGTTCCTTCCAAAGTTACCTTTTAATTTCTAGTGATTACCTTCATCTTCTCAGAACCATGAACAAGCTCTTCTCTTGGTCTCCCCACAGCACTGAGTCTGAGAGGATTACAATTTACAATAAGTATCAGGGAAGAAGACTTACTGGGCACGAACATAAACTCTACCACTACTGAAGGTTGGTTCCAGAAGGAGAGAGAACGCTCGTCCACACTGACCACGCTCAGGCATGCACCCTCACAGACGCCCCGTGTTCTCCGTGCCCGCGGAGCGTCTCCCCCCCGAGCTGACGTTGTCTCAGCTGCCATCCACACAGCCCCCCGCACGTGGGCCGGGCCCCCGGTCCTGTGGCCTTGGGCCGACTCCAGGCAGCCCCAGCGACAGTTGGGCTAATGCGTCCAGGTGTCACTCGAGACAGGAGCTTGTCTTCTGTCTCCCTCGTGCAGGTGCCTGCAGACCCCGGCCCAGCTGAGGGGATGTGGCTGCTGGAAAGGGGCCCACATGGCAGAACGGGGGCCTCCGTCACTACTCGTGGCATCCAACTCTGAACCCGGGCAACAACAGCAGCTCTGGTCAGAATAACGCACCAGACAATCCCAGACCCGAGACTCACAGACCTCACGTGCCCATCATCACCCCGGACACTGCTTGTTAAAACTCGGGCCTCTGAGTCCCCACCCACGGTGCGGTGCGGTGCGGTTGGTAAGGTCACCAGACACCTCCCCAGGAGGAATTGACCAGGAACCCGCCTTTCCTAAATGCTCAGTGGTGTTTGAGGAACCACTGGTGAAGTCCATAAAAGCCACAACAAAAGCACATTATCTTCCCCATCTCAGATTAAAGGCAACCTTGTTTCCTCCGTGTTGACCGGCCCCTGAGGCTGAAGCTTGCTTTTTCCTCAGAAGGACTGGGGGAAGTTCCTTGTTCTCCTTCTGTTTGAATCATCTGCCTGTTGCGGGAGAATTTCCCTCTGTGGAGAATGAGGCTGATTGTTTTTAACTTCTTATGTGTTTTCATTTCTTAGAGTATCACTGCCTTCATCAGAGATGGGGCTCTACCCAGTGCCTCTGCGACTTCCCTCATTTCTCCAGGAGCAGATCGAATCCCAACACTAACTTTTGATACAGAAAAAGGCATCCCTTAAAGTTATACACAAAAGACTCTGTACTAACTTGTTACCCTTGAGACTGGGTCCTTCATAACCTTGTTTTTTTGTTTTTTGTTTTGTTTTGGTTTTGGTTTTCTGTTTCCTGCTTTTTTTTTTTTTTTGCTCTTTCTACCAACAGCATCTAAACAATATCACTCCCTGTTCCTCCTGTGAGAAATGCCTCGTCAAAGTCGTCTGAGGCGTTCGTTCTTTCTTCACAGAATCTTACTCACGATGTGTCTAATGGAGCTTAGCTGGGAAGAAAACTGCGGCTGAAAGAGAACAAGGAAAACATTTCCTAAATGTATAAACGATGACCAAATGCTTGTGGAGTTCCTTCGAGGGGGGCGGGGGGCAGGTGCTGAACGACCCCCTGTGACAGGTGTCCAGGAGCTTCTCGTCTCCCCTGAGAGCTGCCCATCTGCACGGGGCCCCGCCCGGCCTGCGGTCTCCCGGAGAGGCCCTCAGAGTCCTGCCTCCGCATCCACTCAGCCTCGTGTGGCGGAGCCTCCCACCAACCGCAGGCTCTCCACTGCTATTTCTACTGTGGGGGTCTCGTTCTTCTTGGGTGTCCCCCAAACATGCGGAATAGCCACTCAGCGTGTTCGTCTGCAAGGGCCTCGCTCTCCGCCCCACGACCGACCACGGCGCACCTGCACGCAGAGCCCTTGTGAGGACGGAGGCAGCAGAAGGACTGGGGCTCTGCCCCCCACCCTGGAGAAGCAGGTCTGCAAACCCGAGCTGAGGGAACTCAGAGCGGCTGTCTCGGGCAGGCCCCTGCGCTAAGACCCGCGGGAACATCTGTCTCCAGGCTTCTCTCGCAGACCTCTCCCCCCTCTCCTCCTCCACCTCCCTGCCCTTTGTCCTCTTCCTACCCGTCCCTGCACCGCCCTGCTACCTCCTGCTCAGACACGGGCATGTGCACCACCGCCAGCCCCACACCTTATTTGTTCTCTACAAACAAGGAGGCAATTAAAAGGATCAAAAGAGATCTGACATCTGTTCAGGTGCTGTTAAGGGTCAGAGGCTCTGAGAAGGGATGAGAACATCTCCTTCCCACCTCCAGACACTACACCTCCTATGATAAGAATTATAGTTACGCATGTGCATATGATAGGCACACATATATGTAAACATAAAATAAAGGTGTGTATGTGTATATATGTACATGTGTGTGTATGTATACACGTGTGTACGTACATACACATACAGAACAGTTATTTTCTGTACACATCTGTACACACGTACGCACATGTGCACTTACATGTGATCTATAATACATACTACATATGTGTGTGTGATGGACACGTGCATATATAATCGTATATTTACATGTACATACACACATTTTATGTACACACAGAAAATACACATAACACATACACACACACGTATCTAACATACAACACACACAAGCATATACACACGCGTATGTACATACATCCCATACACACACATATCTACAAAACTGAACACAGAAACTGTTCCACTAATCTGTAGAGATTTTCTCTGTAGGGCACAAGCTTTTCTAATTATTTCCTACACCATCTATTTCTTTCATTCCATCGCCTGGTTCCTTGCGGGGATTTCCACCGTTTCTCTGCAACACTTCCCAAACACAGGGACTGACAGTAGCCACGGCTCACAGAGAAGGGGCAGCCAGTATGAAGGAAGGGTCTGATTGCCGCACTAATAAGCCTGTGGCATGACCCAGTGGCATCACTTGGTGGGAGTTCGGCAGGCCAGGTCCCCCCACAGAGGCTCCCTGGCCTCCCCTGAGCCCAGCTCGGCCGTGCCCCAGCAGAGCTGCTGCAGAGGACTCCACCCCCTTCCAGTCCCAGGGGTCAGCTCCATCCCCCAGAGGCCAGGGCCTCTATAAATAACTATCCCAGGGGAAACGACAAACAATTCTTAATTGTTTGTAATGAATCATTTTCTTGGAGACGCGTGGCTCAGAGGACAAACTAAAAGGCGGACTAAAACAATGGAAATAGCCCAGCACAACAACATCCCTAAAGACAGAAGGAAAGGACCAGCTTTAGCCATGACTCCATTCATACAAGGGAACGCTCTGCCAATAACGTCAAATAAAACCTACATGACCGTGGAGACGTAAGGACGGATCAGCAGATGAAAGAGAAGGGAGCCTGCTGGTTTAGGCTGCGGTCTCTGTTCCTCGGCGGTCAGCGTAAACACCCCATTATCGTATTTGGAAGGCAGGCTACATGGCCACCTTTTCGTCCGGTTCCTACCACAGCTTCTCACCGAGTCTGAGAGCAGCATGTTTGCAACCATATTGTAAACAAGGCAAGTCAGAAAGAGTGGTGCTCTAAGTAGAATTCTTTTAAAAATAAATATGATTAAACTATTATTTCTGCCAATTATGCACCCTTGATCATCATCCATATTTAGAAGGACAAACAAGGTGCTTTGCGATGTTATGACTAATACTTGTGGGTAAAATGCCTGGCAATAATCTCCTCCCCAAGCATCTTGTCAGATTCTCTTCTTCTACTTTGTAACATCAGAGATTCTACAGATACTGTGTAAGAGATTAATCCTGATTTGTGACGTAGTTTTCTCTGAGATTGGGAGTTGTAATAAACACCAGGATGTTAGATGCTTTACTATGATTCAGGAGAAGCTTATTTACATCAGGATTCGGAGGATGAGAAAGCCAAAAGTGGGTAGAAGTCCCCTTGGGGCCCCTCCCCCATCTCCCCTGAGGACAAGTGTCAGCAACAGTCCAGAAGGAAGAGAGGGCAACGCATCTGAACTTGGGTCTTAGGAAAGAGATTAAAGTAACATTCTCTGAAAAGACAGTAAGCCAGAGCCTCCTGGAATCGCGTCACCAATGGCAAATACACAATAAAATGGTTTTGGGCAAATTATGGATGTCAGCAACTCTACCCTCTGTCCCGATCAACCCAGAACACACCTCCTAAAGAGAATCCAAAGAAACTACCTGTTTCCTCACCTCTCCAAACCTCCCTCCAAGTTTGCATGCAGCATCTGGTCCCCTGCGATGCCCTCCCCGGCTGACTCTCCACCCCTACCCTGTGTCTCGGGGTCGGAGGCTCCTTTCAAACGTCTGTACCAAGGAACCTGAGTGTCACAGGCAGGGGTGGGTATAAGGATAATTAGGAATGAAAATGAACTGAGCTCTGAAATGTGACAGATAGAATACATAGTTACCTTTTTCTTTGATGCTTCCGACTTCTTTGACATGTTCTTCAACTTTTTATGCAAGTGATTCAGGACCTGGAAAGCACAGATTAATAAAACCTTTGGCCTCGTGCCCACACTTCCTTGTCTGTTTTGCATTGTCAATTCTTGGCATTCTGACCCAGTGATCACATTGCTTATAAACTCTTATAAAACCACTCGAATCAAAAGGCGCATAAGGTGCCAAAGTAGCAATGAGTGCCACCTGCCACCTGCCACCGTTTCTCTAAGATTCAGGAGGATCCAGGGACAGTCTGTGGTCACAGCATCTGTTTGCAGAGAAATTCTGGGCTCATGTGGCTCTGGGGTTTTTTCCACAAAGTGCCAAACTGCTCCTATATACATGTCCTCACTAGTCTATCTTCCACCTTGGTTTCCTCAATATTCTCCATCTCAACAATCGCCAGGTCCCTGCTGTATGTCGAGAGGGGTGCCAATCCCAGATATGCGGGAAGACCAGAGATCTCCATCCAGTGCACCACCCAACGGGGAAAGCAGGCAAGTGAGCAAAGCAAGGTGATGTAATCTGAGAGTTTTCCCGTGTGGCCAACGCTTGCGTCCACTGATTCCTTCTGTTTTCCTGTCGTGGGTTCCTTACAGCAAATTCCCACCCACCTGCTTCCCTTGAGTTCTTTATTCTAATTCTACCCACGGCACCATGCATTTGGACAGCTCACATGTGGGGGACTCAACCTCTCCGGGGATTTGTAGAGGGTTTAGCAGTTTCACAGTTAACCGCCCTGTCCGAGGATCTCCTGAGAGATACTGGCTTCATTCATCAGGGGAATTATTTTTGCCTTTTCTTGCCAGAGTCATACTCAGGAGAAATGATGTGTAACTCTCAGGTTATATATAGGAATTTACAACATAAGCTCGGTCTTACACAACAAATCAACCTTGCAGACTCATACTGGGGTTCATTTTTATATACCATCTGAGTGAACATCTAAGGAAAAACTAACCTGTGGATGACTGTGGGCTTTGGGTCATCCATAGCTTGCCAACTGAGGCTGGGAGAGAAGTAGAAACCACGTTCCAGACCCTTTCTTGTTTCCCTCCAGCACCTCAGCATGGAAATAATGCGATCAATTTGGACTTACTGCTGAAGTCCGCTGCATTCAGCTACACATGGGATTTCTAGAGTGATCAGTGATGCCCTAATAAGAAACTACAGGATTTATCTACTAACATCATGAGCTCTAAGCTAGTTAAGCAGAAATCGTTGCGGTATGAATTTCTGACTCCAAATTCTCAGCCCTACTGAGTCACTTCTCATGTCCTGCAGTGGCTTAGCATCACCTCCAACAAGATGAGCCTTTCACTTGGTGCAGTGACATTTAGGATCACTTTCAATACGTTGATGATAGATTACGTAATGGTTTTGCCAACAGAAACTGGGGCTCCAGGGACCGAATGTAAGAGCTTTTGCAGGATCTTGTCTGGAGAGGATGGGCCTAGTGAGTTTCCTTGTTGGCAGCCTTCCCAGCAAGAGACCACAGGAAGACACTGGTCATTAAGGATGAGAGGCAAGAAGAGATAACAGGGGACAGGCAACAAAACAAAACCAGAAAGGGACACCTAGAGGGGTGGCCAAACAGGAAAGTGAAATGTCATCTGCTTCATAAAGCTGCCTGAGGGTCTGTTCCCTCCTCCAACAAATTCATTGCATCCATCTCAGTGGCTTCCAGCCATCTGCGGAATGTTGTTGAGTGGCCAACGAAGGAAATACCCTAACAGTTTTCTTCGGAGTTTCCCTTCAATAGCCCATACGATGAGCACACACTGATATGTTATAATGCATATATGGATATATACATTTGATGATGTCTTGTCATCAAAGGTAGCATGATGGGTTGTAATTGCATTTCTTTAAAAGATGATGATGTCATGATGGTATCACTCTGCGGTTCTATACACTTAGCAGTGTGTGTAGGAGGCATACATTCAAACCTGAGCCAAGGTCATCTTGGGCACCAGATATCTCTGGGGATGTAAGAAAATTTGGCAGGTAGGCCCGTGAAGAGTGCCTGACCCCACGTCAGATGGTAGATGTCCTGAACAAGAGTTCCTTCTAAGGGAAGAGAAGGAGGGGTCAGCCCGTGCAAAAGGGAGCACCACAAGCACACGCCAGCCTGGGCATTCTGTGTGTTTCTCAGGGACCATCAGGCACAAACTGTTCTATACAAAGTTTGGAGAGCAGACAGCAATGCTAGAATGCAATTTCTTTGTCGAGTTAAACAAAAAGGGGGGAGTGTAATCTCAGGTGAGTCTTCAGCCAATTGTGATTTGCGTGGTGGTCATCAGTCCGGGGCCCCGGAGAAACAGCTAGTCCCGAACCTAACATTCAGGAAGAAGAATCGCTGGCCAGACAGCATTCCTTGATGATGGAGGCAAAGAGAAGCAGCTAGAAAGCGACACGTAAGCTCTTCTTCGAGCCCTGGAGTGAATCTGCAAATATTATCTTGAATTTAAAAGAAATTTCCAGTTATGCTTAACAGCAAACTATTTCCATGTAAAAAGTGCCCCAATGAGCATGTATTTGTTGAAAATTTTTAAACTATTTTGAAACTTTGTCCTATGTGTGACTTTCGTAACTTCTCAGATGACAGAAATGTAGCCTAATTTTTCCTAAAAGTTTGCCCAGTCATTTCCATCAAGAAGATCCGGAAACTGTGAGGAAGTGAAAGAAGAGTACGCTTCAGCTCTGCTTCAGGTGATTATGAATCCACCACCAAATATTCTAAGAACACTTCTAGTCCTGAGCTTCATGCCCCCAAGGTCCTCCCTCAGAGACTGGAAACTGCCTTAAAACCCTTCCTGAACCATCTATCAGCTTCATAACGTGGGTCAGTTGCTTTGCTCCTCCCAAACCCTTTCCTGGATGCTCCCCCTGACAGGCTTGTGAAGACTGAGTGAGACAGTTGCTCAGGTTGAGCACTGCACTAGTAGAACCACATTTTTTTTCTTTTTCTTTTGCATTTAGAGAAGGTTAAGTGAATACATCGGCTAGTTCCACAAAGAGCTAAGCCACAGCTATCTTCCAAATGCCCCATCTTGCCCTATCTCCTCCATGTTTCTTTATATATAACCCTTTGATGCCGGCCGTCCTTTCAAATATCCAAAACTCTAAGCATTCAAACAGACATAACTCTATATAGATGATATGGGGCAGAGGAAAACAGAAACCAGGGAGCTTAGAGTGAACACTCTTGCTGAGAAAAATACTTTACGAATTGAATGTAAGTAAGTATTGTCCTCTGTGATCTCCTTACTCATGGTCCCAGAGTCACTGCCTTATCAGGGATAAAAAGAGAGGAAGAGAAAGATGAAAATAAAACCCTGGGAAATTCAAAAGTTGGCTAGGATGTTGTCCTCATGGTGATGATACTCCCAGAATATGTTGGGGGGGGGGCTGGGGTTTACCCCCAGGAATTGCTATCACGTGATTAAACGTATATTCTTACTCAAGCACAAACAAGTGTATCCAGAAAGTTGAAGACTGATCAGTATGATAATCTTCAAAACCCAGTGTTATTAAATTTGCTGAGCTCTGCCATGCTATGTGAAGGGAGGGTGGGAGCAATTTTCCTGGTGAGGATGGAGAGGAAGCTGGACCAGAGGCATCACTAAGGGGACTCCTGAGGGGAGTTAGGGATTTAGACCTGAATCACTTCATGTTGTTTACACAACCCTTCTAAACAGAACTGAAACCTGTCCATCCAAGTCTCCGGAGACGAAGGTCAAGATATTGTAAAGAAATTGTCTTTTAGCACTGGGGTTTATCAAGCTTAAGCCTCCAGTAAAATACAGTTTGAAGCTCTGTTGCCAGGAGAGTGGCTTTGCAGCCCGGGAAAGGGACCTGGGAGACCCCTGAGCACCGGAGGGGAGCATGAGGGAGGGGGCACCTGGCCTAGCTCACCTCCCTTGCTCCTGAGGCTCTGCAGCAGGTCGCAGATCAGATCCTGTGGGTCCCGGGTGTGAGTGGCTAAAACTGAGGGACATCCCTCTGCAGAGAGCCGGTCCCTCAAGGGACAAACTCAGGATCCAGGGCTGTGGTGGCAGGAGGGCAAGGGGAGGCGGGACCTCGGGGAAGTGACCTGCAAACTTTCCACAGCAGTTCCCAGAGGCCAAGTGACTTTCTCAAGCACCCTCTCAAACACCATCCACCCCCTCGCACACCATCCACCCGGCAGAGGGGCGTGTTCTCAACCAAAGGTGCCCAGAAAACTGGAGTGGGTGAGGGCAAAGGGGCTCCTAGAGGGGCGCAGCAACACAGGAGCTACCCCGAGGCCCCGAGCCCCGCCTCCCCGCTGCCCATGCCCCTGCCCCTGCCCGCGACCCGTATGCCCACCTTAGCGTAGCAGAAGCAAATGAGCAGAAGCGGCAGCAGGTAACCAAAGACAAACGTGCACACCACGTAGGCCTTCTTGTGGGTCTGGTTGGGCCACTGCTCCCAGCAGAAGGTCTGGTTGCTGACTTCCCAGTGGAAGAGGCGGCGGTGGTAGGCCACGGGCAAGGCCATCGCCATGGACAGCGCCCAGATGAAGCCCAGGCCCAGCAGCGCGTTGCGAGACACCCGCAGGGAGGAGGAGCGCCGAGAGAGCACGATGGCCACATAGCGGTCCACCGACATCGCGGCCAGGGTGAAGATGCTGACCAGCATGGAGACGGTGAAGAAGTAGTGGGTGAAGCTGCAGATGAAGGCGCCCAGCACCCAGGTGGGCAGCGCGTACACCGTGGCCTGGAAGGGGATGCAGAAGAGCAGGTAGGCCAGGTCCGCGATGCTCAGGTTGAGGATGAACAGGTTGGTGGTGCTGCGCGGCTTGCCCGGCTTGCTGCGCGCCAGCACGGTGATCACCAGGCTGTTGCCCAGCACGCCGAACACGAAGATCAGGCCGAACAGCACCAGCGTGACGAAGTTCTCCACGCTGACGCCGAAGAGCGGCCTGGGCTCCGGGGAGGGGGGCTCGGGCCCGCTTGCGTTCCCCTCGCTGAGGTTCCCGGCCGCGAGCTCCATGGTGCGCGGGCGCCCAGGCGCGCCGGCGACGGTGCCTGATAAGGAAGACTCCGGAGGACGCCGGGGGTCCCGAGCCAGAGCACGCAGAGGGCGAGTTTCCGATCCTGAGGCTCGGGGATGGGCACGCACCCTGCGGCTGAGCCTCCTGCCACCGTCTTTGCGCGGGGCCGCCCGCGAGGAGCGCAGATCCGTACCTTCCCGGGAGGGGGTGACAGTCCCCAGAGCGCGGGGTTCCCTCTGCCCCGGGCGCCGCTGCCCTCTGCGCGGCCGCCAAGACGGGGAAGAGAGACCGGCCAGGGCAGCTGCAGAGGTGGAGGGACCCCTCTGCGCCTTACCGCTCCCTGATCCCTGCTGGCCGCTTCCCTCGTTCCGGGAGTGGTTTCGGCTGCACCTGTTGCTCGGACCTCTCCCTTACCGCGTCGCTCCCGGGGCACAGCCGGCGGGTCGCAGCGCACCGCACAGCTCGCGGAGAGGGCTGCCCGCTCCTCCAAGGCGGCGGCGCCTGGTCTCCCCTCGCAGTTTTTGCAGGGATTCCAAGTGATCGCTCTCCAGGCGCTTTCCTGAGGGCTGACCGGGGGGATTGCTCCAGAACCTCTGTGTCGCAGCTGAGACTTAGAAAACAGCCGGCTGAAATCCGCGTCCCTGGGGGCCTCTCCTGTCCCCCTCGCCCCTGCCAGGAGTCCCAGCGCGCGCAGAGGCTGCAGGAGTCCTAAAGGGCTGCGTCGCCGCCCACCGCCTGGCTGGAATCAGACGCGCGCTAGCCTCTGCAGGGTGCGGACCTGCGTGGGTCCGGAGAAGGCGGCGGCTGCCGGGTGCAGCACCGCCCGGGTGGCCCAGCGGAGCGGAGCGCGCTCTAGCGCGCGCGGGGCGGGGAGGCTGTGGGGCGCGCAGCCTCCTCGTCCACCAGCGCCGCTCATCTTTCTCACTTCTGGGGAGGCTGTCCCTGAGAGCGCTCCCTGCCCCAGGAATTAAACCCCCTAGAAATCAGTGATTGGCACTGCAACCTGGAGTTTAGTAAAACCTCTAACCCGCCCTCGCCCTCCCCACCGCTAGGGAGGAAATAAGAAAAAACATGAATGGTCTCTGCCTTTTCATTATAAACGTCTAAAATATTACAGGTGTCCTGTACACACCAGCCTGCTTTCAGTCAGTTTTGCTCTGTGTTTCTTATCTGAGTGACATAAGCACACGTACTGACACGACATATCTGTGATGTGGAAAGAACACGTTTACACCACAACCTGAGAGGGGGAGAGCCTTGAGTCAGCGTGCCCCTGGTGTGTCATCTTGCCCCTTCCCAACTAGAGAGCTGAAATGGATTTGTTTATTTGCAGTGTTGGTATGATGTGTCTCTGTTCCCCTCCAAGATCCCGGTATGTTTCCAGCACTCTCCAAATGATGTTTGAGGGTCCGTTATGTGCCAGACACAGTCAGGTCACAGCCCTGCAGTGTGACACAAAGATTACTTGGAGAACAGGCCAAGTACAGGCACAAGGCTGAACCTTGGAGAGTGGGGGAAGCAGGTGGCAGGGAATCCCCCTCTCATTCGGCCTCACCTGTTCCCTCTGCCTAATTTCCAGGAAGACCCTGAGGCTGCTCACTGACCATCCGCCATACAGCAAGCGCCCATACTCAGTGTTCCTTCTAGCGTCCGCACACATCTCCCAGAGGACTCAGTTGTGTTTAAGTAACTTACGTAGCAGAGTATGTTGCTAAATCAAGAAACCTCTTACCTTCCCTGGAAGGTGGCTCCAAACCTTGCCCATCCATAGCTTTTCTCCCCAAGGGGTTCTGGGCCCTACACGGTCACGGGACCCTGTGTTGGACAGCTCCGTTACACTGGAAGTTATTTGTAATCAGATTTGGGAAAGGGATGTTTCCAATTGTTATGAACTATTTTCAACATGGAACAAATAAAGATGAAATTATATTGAATACTTATGTGCCCACCATCCAACCTAGAATAAAAAAAAAAAAACCATCAATAGAGTTGGGACAGCTTTTACCTTCTTTGCAAAACATTCACCCACCACCCCTACCTCCGGGTAACCTAAATATCTTGTCTGTTGATCATTTCTTTACATATTTATGGCATATGTATAGGTTCTTAAATAATAGACTGTGAGGTTTTGGTTTCTTTTAATGTTATATGGTTGTGTGGTAATCCTGATTTTTCCCTGTAAATTGTCTGGTATGACTCTAGATATACCAACAGTCTTTGCTACTTACTGATCTGCTGTATTTTTTGCAGTTTCTCATGTCCTGTGCTTTGTGGGTATCTCTCAGAAACCGGATTGTTTTAAATAACTGGGTTGTTTTAAATAACTTTAAAAAACTGGATTGTTTTAAAACCCGATTTGGCAATCTCTATTTTGCAACCAGTGAGTTTGGCCTGTTTACTTTTATTGTTATTACTGATCTCTGTGGCCTTATTTTTTGTTTTCTGTTTCCATGTTTCTGCTTCTCCCCCATGTCTTCACATCTTTAGGATTGCATTCTAACCTGTCTTTTTTTCCCATCTCAAGACAGGGGGAAGGGATATGATCCATTTTATTCTTTTGCTGGTCACCCTTGAGTGCCTCCTACATGCCAGGAACTATTTTATGTTCTGGAGACGGAGCAATGAACAAAGCCAAACCCCTTCTTTCATGGATTTTTATGTCTTCTTATGGAGACAGGGCATTAAAAAAGAAACGAAACCATAATATGCCGTATGGTAAATACTCTGAAGGAGAAAAAAGCGGAGTAAGTGAAAGAGAGCGGTTGGAGGGTGGAATCGTAGAGAATAATCAGGAGGCTTGTCTTCGAGAAACCGACATATTGGCGGGAGCCAAGAGGAAGTAAAGCAGAAAGCCTGTGCCTCCGTCAGTGAAGGACGCTGTCACAAAATGCTCTCGAGCAGGGAACTTACAGACAGCAGATATTTCTCGGCTGTGGGAGCTGGTGTCCGAGCAAGCCACCTGCGCATTTGGTGTCCGGTGAGGGCCTGCCTTCTGGGTCATGGCCAGCACCTTCTCACTCTGGCCTCTGGGCAGAAGAGGCACGGGTGCTCTCTGGGGCCTCTGACAAGGGCCCTGATCCCGTCCCTGGGGCTCCACCCTCATGAGCTAATCACCTCCCGAAGGGCCCACCAACCACTGCCATCACAGTGGGGGTTAGCGTTCAGTATATGAGTTTCAGGGGGACACCAACATTCAGTCCATAACACGTTTTGAATACCGCATTTAGAACATTCTCGTGAGAAAGACCTGCCTTCAGACACGCTTGTCTCTTTGGAAGAACAAGGAGGCCTGCATTGCTGGGGTGTCAAGAGCTGGGGAGATTCTAAGTTGTAAGTTCAGAAGAGATGGGGTGGGGCGAGGGGAATGGGTGATGCCGGACCAGGGAGGCAAGGACAGAACTTGGTTCTACTTGCATACAGTGGAAACCACGAGGGGACCTCGTTGTGTGTTTCCGAAAGATCGCTTTGCTCGCTGCAACAGGCCATAAGGAGAGTGAAGGAAAGAGGAAGAAGAGCAGGAAGAAAATCTGCAGGAATGAGGATGCCAGAGAGCCCCGGGGTGGCGTGGAGATGGAGGAGAGAGAGGAAATGGAAGGGAGTGAAAGAGAGAGGGGGAGAGAGGGAAGAAGTGGGAGAGGGAGAGAGTAGGAGAGAGAAGGAGAGAGAGAGAAAGGAGGGGAGGGAGGGAGGGAGGGCTCCCAGAGTTTGAGCCTGACAGCCTGCAGGGAGGCCACCGCTTACTGGATTGAGGCGAAGCGCAGACAGAGTGGGTTGGGGGGAACTCATTTAAAATCTGAGGTGTTTATTAGACATAGGATTAGTTAGTCTTGAGTTAATGGGAGAGGGGAGGGCTGGTTCATGGGTCCAGAAATGACTAAAATATTGACAACTAAGAGAATTTAAAATCAACCACTCTTATTACCCTCCTCCCGAGCAAGACAAGGTCTTGAACGTCTTTGTAACTCCGGCCGCCCTTGCTCATTCTGCCTGGTTCTCCCATCCAGCGTCAGTCCCTGGACGCTCCCCTCCTTAGGCACGATGACCATTGCCGGACCACACAGCAGTGTCTGTTTCTTTCACCGTCCTGTGTGCTTCTTGGGCCTCTTGGGAGATCGTTTTCCTCCTTCCTGAGGAATATATTTCAAAGTCTCCTTGGGCGAGGGCCAACGGTAAGACGTGGTCATCGTTCCTCGTGCTGTGTTACAGGCCCTGTTGCTCACGGGCAGCTGGCCGGGAGACAGCCCCGGCGTCCCAGCCCATGAAGGTTTCATCCGTCTCCGTGTGGCTTTGCTTCTGCTCTGGAGAATTCAGCTACTTTGTCGCTCTTCTGTGGACAATTGCACTTTTTTCTCAATTCGTGATACCTTCTTATCATTAGTTTTTGGTCATTTCACTGTGAGGTTGTCACTCTTCCTTCTTCTTGGTGCTTGTTGAATTTCTGAGGCTGGAAATTCACATGTTTCATCAGTCTTGGAGAATTCTTGGCCATCGGTTTGTAAAGGTCGGCTTTCCCCATCCGTGACCTCGTCTCCTCCAGGATTCCGACAGGCGTGAGCTGGGCCTTTCCGCTCCTGCGTGCTTGGCTCACTTGCCATCGTGCCAGCGGACTATTTTTTCTCAGGCTCTACACCTCCGGCTGCACTATTTTCTCTCGAGTTCTGATCTTTTTTTCTTTCCAAATTCACAGGACACTTTTTATTTTTTTCTTGCTGCTCATGTTTCTAAATTCCTCTCTTGTTTTCTCAAAGATTTTCCTCGGGCTGAAATTATTCTAGAACTTCTCTGCTCTGAGCTCCTGGCAGCCTGATCACGCTGTTCCCTCTCCACGAGCCCTTCCCGTGGCCTGAGGCTTGGGCCCACCGGTTGCTGCTGTGTTTGATTTCCCTGCTCAGATCTCCACGTGGCCAGGACACATCTGTGAGATTTCACGACGCCTGAGTTAAGAGTCGTTTCTTATCAAAGTACTGCTGTTCGCGTCTGCCGGTCATCCCCACCATCA